CGCACCTGGGGCGAGTCGCTCAGAATGTGTCTTCATCCACAGGACCGCAAGGTTGATGCTGGGCCCAAGGGGAACTTCTCTGCTTTTATGAACCACAGCTGCCAACCCAACTGTGAGATGCAGAAGTGGACGGTGAACGGGGACATCCGTGCGGGTCTCTTCGCCGTGCGCGACATCCAGGCGGGTGAGGGTACCTTGTGTGTTTACTGACTTTTCTCTCTGCCATTGGTGTTTTGCAAGAACCTTCACTGTCAACACGGATATAACAGAAGCCGCGTAAAATAACGCCCTACTGCATGTTGTGTTTTTTTTTTTAAATCAAAGTTGAGTTATAACCAAAATTTGGTCTCTGAAGCTCGGTTTTGTATAACTACAGTATCATTTACCTGCCTGCCTAGACATTTGGGTGGAAGGTCAAAAAACCCTAAAGTCCCTTTTTTCAGCTTCACTGTCAGCGTAATTACTGTGCTTTGCCTTTGTAGGGCAGATTAGATCCACTTTTATTTTCAGATATTTCATCTTTGATGCTTTAAAACAGATTAAGAGTCACCATTGAATGCGCCGCTCCAGAAATATGTGTGATATTCTGACCAACAGCAAGAAAAGCCTTGAGCAAAATCAAGAACTAAAGGAAGGGAAAGTGATTAGTTGTCATGGTTGACACAACATAGCACCCAGTGCACAACAATGAAACGTGTCATCTGCATTTAACCCATATGTCACATCGTGACATAGCAGGGGGCAGCTAATTCAGCCCCCATTAAAAAAAAGGCCTCGCTACTGTAATTGGGTGGACATTAGTAGTTATGAGCATTTATTACAGCCCAAAAGGCAGGTAGCTAAGGCAGGAGACATTTTTGAGAATCTCCTGTCGACCGGCAGACGTCTTCACAGATGCTTGTCTGTCAGTGACTGACGCTTGCAGGTGTGCCGTTTACCGCAGGCACTGAGTTGACCTTTAACTACAACCTGGAGTGCCTGGGCGACGGGAGACTATCCTGCCACTGTGGTGCAGAGAACTGCAGCGGCTTCCTAGGGATGCAACCAAAGGTGAGGAGCCGTTTATCCTGCCCCAAGCACGCCTTCGGAAGTCCCCAGCAGTGACTGTGTAGCAGGCCTGTAACGATACACAGAAATCAGGGTTCGGTACGTTTTCGGTACAGTGCGGCGGAAAAGAAACAAAGCGTAAATCGCTTCTTTTTTTCTTTATTAAACAGTGGTTTACTGGACAAAATATGCCTGTTTTTTTAATTAAGAAAGTCTGTCAATATTGCTGCAACCTACTAATAAAAAACTAAAAGTTACTTAAATATTTGCATTTAGAACATTAACCGTACCTGATCTGTACTTTATATTCACATTTAGAACATTAACCGTTAACTGATCTGTACTTTATATTCACATTTAGAACATTAACCGTTAACTGATCTGTACTTTATATTCACATTTAGAACATTAATCGTACTTGATCTGTATTTTATATTCACATTTAGAACATTAACGGTACCTGATCTATATTTTATATTCACATAAGCATATTAGAGCTGTGCAACACAAATATGCTTTGTATTTTTTGAGATAACAAAATAAATATCCATTATGGTGCAGCATTTAAAAATACCTGCACTGTACTTGTATTCACATTAACAGCTTCCAGCTTCACATTAGGACGTACTGCACATGCATAGTGGTGCAGCTTCATCCGGCCCTTTCCAAATGTCGCTCGGGGGAAACACACAAAGGTTCCACATTTGCTGCATTCGTTCAGTACATCTGTGTACCAAACCGAAAGACCTGTACCGAAATTTTTTGGTACAAATATTTGTATCATTACCCCTCCTAGTATGTAGCTATAATCCTTGAACTAATCATTTACCGACAACTACTATGAATCACATAGCTTTTATACATTTGTAGAGTAGAAAGTTTGACTAATAATTTGTTAAATATTCTGTCAAAATCCTCAAGGGCGAGCTGGAGCTCCTCTGGACATCTTAAAGGGGAACATCCCTGCTGCCTTCAGCTTAAAGGTGTAATACTCGCTCCGTGACAGTAGGTGGTGCTGATGTGTGTTCTTTTTCCTTATGCTCTCTCCAGAGTGCAGTAGTGACCGAGAAGGAAGAAAAGGCCCGCATCTCGAAGCCGAAGCCCAAGAAGCGTAAGGTGAAGCCTTGTGAGTTGAAGCTGGCCCACAAGTCGGCCTGCTTCCTCTGTGGCGAAGCCGGGGAGCTCGTCACGTGTGACAGGAGGGATTGCCCGAAAGCTTACCACCTCCGCTGTCTCAGCATGACCAAGCCGCCACACGGTATGGTCCTCCCTGCTGGTGAATTGCCGATTGTGTGTGTCATGTTGCGATTAGAATTTTCCCAGTAGAAATGAATGGAGAGTCCCCACAAAGATATACTAGTGTGTGTTTGTGTGTGTGTGGGTTTGCATAGATCACATTTGAGGACCAAATTGTCCCCAAAGTGTAGTAAAACCTGAAATTTCCCTACTTTTGGGGACATCTTTTGAGGTCCCCATTTGGATAACCTCAGTTTTATAAAAACCTGTGAATGCAATCAAAAAAGTAAAAATGCCAAAAGTCTTGTATTTGGGTTGATTACTTATGGTTAAGGTTAGGGATGGGTAGCGGTTAAGGGGGTCGTGGTTGGGATTAGGGCTTTTCCCATAGAAGTGAATGGACGGTCCCCATTTAGATAGGAAGACCAACTTGTGTGTGTGTCTGTGTCTGTGTGTGTGTGTGTGTGTCTGTCTGTGTGTCTGTGTGTGTGTGTGTCTGTGCTCCCCTGCCTCATGCTGTATGCTCTCTACAATAGGCTGCAAGCTCATTTGCTTTGCATAAGTTAAAGACTGATGGATAATGTCGCTTGTATGTGGAAGTATTGTCAAAATATCTGTGGTGCTTTTAGCATTTGAACCCATGTGCACTGCAGCTAACCCAGCCTGCCTTGCTTTTAGCATTTGAACCCATGTGCACTGCAGCTAACCCAGCCTGCCT